TCCGATACCTTCGCTCTCCCTTTGCCCTTATTGCTGCTCTTGCGTTTGTAATTGCAAAAGTGAAAATTACGTGGGATAGGGTGAGCGATAGAGGGAGACAGAGCGAGACAGTAGGGGTGATTGGGCTCATATGAGGTTCGGCTGTAATTATCACAGTATCGGCTATCAGCTGGCTGTGAACTTTCACATTTATCACATGGCTCTTGCTTTCAATTGCAGCGGCAACGCGGCGTATGCGTTATGTGCAACAGCCTTGATTAATACAGCAAAGGACAGGCACTGACCGCGGACCACTGGACGGACTCCACGTGGCCGGTCGCTTTTGCTTTTGCTGGCTGCAACTTGTTATTATTATAATATATAATTTATCCTTGCGCCTATTAAACTTGAGTTGTTTGCCTTTGGGGCTTATTATTTTATTTATTTACCTTGTTTTCAGCTTTTTGGCTGCGCTTTGCTCTACTGTATTACAAAAACACACGCACGCACGCACGCACGCACACACTCACACACGAAGGCGCACACAATGGGATACTGGGAAATTTTTCTAGTGTCTTTTCTTCCCATTGCTGTCTCGCTCTCTCAATCCCTTGCTTTGGTTCTCTCTCTCTCTCTATTTTGCTCTCTCATTTCGCGCTTTTGCGCGCTGTGGTGAATTCCTAAACAAACTCTCGCCAACGGCAGCATACCCCCCACGCACACCACCCCCCGCGTCCACCCATCGTATTTTGGCAATGCGCATCGAGTTGAAAAAGTTCGACTACCTAGTTTCCTCCTGCCTACGAAGAAAAAAAGTTTTGTTTTTCGAAAATCTGCCTACGATTTGATCAATTGCTTTGCAATTGTCTGGCAACTCTGTCAGCTTGCCCTGTTCCTGTCCCTGTCCTTTTGGGCCATTAAGTGTCAGGTCCTGCGCCAGTTCGGGCGCATAAAATAGTCACTTAAGCCCCGCATTGCTCCCATTGCAGCCATCAATTTTGCATGGATATATGTATGTCGCTGTTATTGTCTGTGCTCCAGTTGCTGCTGCTGCTTGTTGTTGTTGTTGTTGTTGTTTTTGCTGCTTCTGCTGCATTTGCTGCATTATCAATTCATGAGCCCAAGGAGCTGAGCTGCGAACGACACGAGCTATAAACACCCCGAGAACTGGATTTTATCTCGCCTGAACCAGAGGGGTTGCCTGTGTGCTGCGGCGGGGAGGCCAAACAAGCATCAGAATCAGCATCAGGCGTCTTGCTGCGTCGTATCCCATGTGCCGTCAGCTGCTGTTGTCTCTCGGCTAACCATGTTCCAGTTAAATTGTCCATGGGCATTCGGAGCTTGCGTGCAGATAAGCAAATATTTATGCAGTTATTTTTAGCGGACCATTAAACTGCATGCAACGAAACAGCCAGTGTTGTTAAATTCTAAAATTGTATTAATATCTATTGATGGCATGAACATGATTGTGAACAGCTAATGAAGCTCTTGACAACTTAATTAATGTTGAGCTTTTATGTCTGCTCTGTTTGCTTCCCTATATAGATTTGTTTAGCATTGTTAATTCCGATTGGATAGAAACATATAGTTTACTACTACTACTTCAATATGGGGCACCACAAATGCATACTTATTTCTTCAAGGCTTTTCCGTTGGCATCTGCTTCGTTGCCTCATTGCCAATTGCTTTATTCGCCTATTCATATAACTTTTCATTGACTCTGTAAAAGATGCGGTGAAAACTCTCCTAAAGAACACTACAAATAGGCGTATACCCCTTTTGGCCGGACATATAACCAAACGTTTAATCACTTCTGTCTTTTCTTGGGTAGATCTTCTTATGGTAAAATAATATATTCGTAAAAATACATTAACAATAAGATTGTACCTTAAATTGATGGGTAGTTTCAATTGATTTATTTATTTAATTATTCTAGATAGGGCAGTGGGTATATATATCGATTATCAGAAATATATTCGTACTGTGCGGGCACCAGGAAGAGCTACGTTCAAAATTTCATTTCATTAGCCCTTATAGGCTTATAGGCTCTGAGATGGAAGCATTCATACATACGGACAGACAGACGGATATGACTAGATCGACTCGGCTATTGATGCTGGTCAAGAATATATGTACTTAATGGGGTCGGATTCATTCTTCCGCATGTTACACACTTTTGCACCAAACCCATTTTCGATGGGTTCTGGCTATATCAAAATATGTTTCCTAGAAACTTTTGCTGTGAAGCAACTTTCTCATTTGATGTACTGCACTTTATCATGATGCTGTTCCAGATTTAATGTCTGGCCTGCTTTGCGCCACTCCAAAATGTCTGGCCCAACAGTTGCTTGGCACACGAGGTCGATATCCTCCTAATATAAGACAATGTTCACGGCATATTGTCTTGGTTTATGCTTATGTTTTTCTTACAGCTGTCGACGAAGTCATATTTCTCCATCCATCCATCTCTCTATCTCTGTCTTTTTGTGTGCGTCTTTCTCCCTTTCTCTCCAATCCATTGCCTAATGGCTTTTCAGTTAATCGCTGTCTGCTCGCCATCTACGAAATAAGTTAATTCGAAAGTGCAAAGGCCGCGTTTCAATCTGCATATAACACTCACACGCACACATACAGAGTGATTCACACTGCGGAAATGGGGCGCATAAAAGGCTCTTGCTGCAGTTTCCTTATCCTTTATCTATACGATTACTTCCCCCAATATGCTGCACCCCTGCTGCCACGCATCCAACGCGCTCTCGCGTAGAAGTGGATGCTTCCGCTTGCATTTTTCAGTACTGCGCGCCCCAACGAACAAGTTTGTCAACACAAATAGCCCCGCCCCGCCAAGCTCCGTTGCGCGCTGCAGCCCTCGCATTTTTCTGTATGTGTGGGTGTATGTGAGTGTGTGAGAGGGCATGTGTGTGGCCTCGTATATATTTTCGCATTTTGTACGTGCGTCACCGGGTCAACCACAACGAACAATTTGCCACCACTCGCATCTGCACCTGTTCCCAGCTGCACTGCTGCTCCCCTCTTCCCGTCCTCATCCTATCATACGGGGCGGCCCCTGCTGTTCCTGTGGCATGTTGTTTGCCCTGGCATGTTGATGGCCATAAATACTTACCGTTACACATGTTTGCATTGTGACCAACCTGTACGCCCTTTTACCGCCCCCACATCCAGGCCAGCCTGGCCTCCTGTCCGATCTCGTTAAAATTCTCATTTCCGTTTTCGACGAAAAATAGTTTATACATATACATATATTTCCACTTTGGCAGCATGCATTTTATTTCGAATTTTAATTAAATGGCCCACACAAAAAACCTTTGCCTACTTTTCAGCTGAAATTAGGTTTAACATTTCAACTGAATGCGTACTTGCCAGAGACGTGCCAGCCAAACACAATTACTTCTGATCAGCTATGTATTGCCAATAACAGTTGCCCTAATTGCTGTACACAATGTTTAAATGGGCAAATTAAATGCGAATTATACATTTAATTGTTTTTAAAATATAAAAGGATTTTACAAAAAAACATATGCACAAAATTAATATTTATTTTGGTAGTTTTTGCGGAAAGCCTTAATCAATTCATTTTCTGATATAATTTTGTTATAAGTATGGTTTAGTTAAGTGAACTTAGTTTCAAGGTCAGCCTTGCTGGACGTTATTAGCTGTAATTAAGGCTTAAGTAGTTCAGCAAAATGAATATCTTTAATTTAATTTTATTTTAATAAATTTAATTTTGTTAATATCATTTTATATAATTCGGGAGCACAGTTTGTCGGGCCTGGTTAAGACATACATAAAAAGCACTTCAGTATGCATGCTGTACTTTTGTTGTTGTCTGACGCATGCAATTCACAACTGGTTAAAGCTTGAGAGAAGCTGGATATACCTAAAATAGCTATACATATTACCTGCTTAATGATGTTTATACCTTGTTGTTTATTGATTTTATATATTTTTATGTAATGAAAGAACGAACCAATAACCTCGAATCAAATTGAATATATTTGAAAATTGCTTTCAATTGTTGTAATTTAATAATAATACTATGCATTTTCTCTATCTTCACTTCTCTCTCTCTCTCTCTCTCACTCTCTCTTCCTTTTTGCTCTGTCTCCCTCTCTCTCTCTCTCTCTCTGTATCTCTGCAGTGCTGACCACTGAAATTCTTTTGAATAAATAACGCACGCTAATCGCTTAATGGCAAAACAAAGATGCCTTCGCCTCACACACCACAACAAGAAAAACAACAACAACAGCAAGAGCAGCAACAACAACAACAACAGCAACAGCAGGTGCAACAACCATTTGGACTTCAACAAGCAACGCAGACAACACTTCAAATAGCCACAACAACAACAACAACAACAAGGCCAGACAGCGTTTCAGAGCGCTGACAAAATGAAACAAAAGCATAATCGAGCCGCAGTAAATAAATGTTGCTCCTAATATGAAAGCAATCTAAAAATACCAAAAAAAAAAAAGGAAACTGACCTTGAAGAGGTCAAAGTGCAGCACACACACACACAAACACACACATACATCATCACAATCTCATACCACACAACACACATACACATCCACATCTGAGCGAAAGGAAACTGCAAAACTGATCAGCGCCATTAAAAAGTAAAAAGTTTCAACGAATTTCCAAAAGCCTAAAAAAAAAATAAGAAAAATAAAAGAAAATAAAAGCCAGCGAAACCGACATCTTATAAAGTTCTTAAGGAAACACAAAAACTCAAAAACAAATAGTAAAAAGTTAAATTTAGAAATTTGCTCTGTGATTTTCTATCAGAATGGTTTAATAATCCAAATAAATTTAAATAAAAATAATTATAACAAATTAAATATAATATTTATAAATATATTGCCTAAATGCATTCAAAACCAAAAATTATTTAAATATAAAAAGAGAAGCTTTAAAAATTCCCAACAAAACCAATATAAATGATATAAAAGAATAATATTTAATTATATACGCGTTTACAAGCGATTTATTAACTAATCAATGCAACCATAATTAGTTTTTATGTGAAAAACCAACGAAACATAAGCCGCGGCCCACAACAACTACATTCCAGAAACAGTTCCACAATCAGTTCCAATTGCAGTTTCAGCTGAGCGCTCTTTAGCCATGGATGAGATGCCAGATTTGTCGCATCTGACGCCGCACGAGCGCATGCAAATTGAGAATGTGCTCATGCGGCAAAAGCAGGAGGAGGAGAAACAGAACGAGATAATGCGGTGAGTAGCTGATAACAGTAACATAAGGCCCCTCGTCCCCGTTAAGCCGAGGTATGCAAGTGCAAAACCGAAAACTAACTCAACCGAATGCCAATGCACTTCCACACAGCCGAAAACAGGACGAAGTTGTCACACTGGAGATGCAAATCCGGCAGCGCTCCGAGCAGCAAAAGAAGGCCGGCGTCGAACTGGATGCCACCTGTCACATATGCCTTAAGACCAAGTTTGCCGATGGCGTTGGCCACATTTGCCACTACTGCAACATACGCTGCTGTGCCCGCTGCGGTGGCAAAGTGACGCTGCGCAGCAACAAGGTAAGCCAAGGGGGGGACTTCGTGTGTATTTATGCGAGTGTGTGTGCATCTCAGCTGACAGCCTGGCAGCCGCCTGACAGCCTGACAGCCTGACACATTTTCCAGTTGGCAATTTTCAAGTGCCATTAGACGCGGCTGTCACTCGGCGACGCGTGAAGCCAGCAAAATGGCAACGAGTCCTGCTTATTTTCCAGCCATTGATAAATTGGATGACACTCTGTCGCCAGTTATACTGGCCGCGTCCTCGCTTGCCTTCAGCGGCTGCTGCTACTGCTACTGCTGCTGCTCATTCAGGCGGCCCATCGCTCATACGCCCCGTTGGCCAGCACTAGCTGCCAATTGGCCAAACGCTGCGTGCACCACGCATAAATAATGGCCATCGGGAATATCGCCAACGCTCGACTATAAAACCCAGCCAATATTTATTGGGCGTTTAGCATTTGCTAGCCAATATATGTCGGCTTGGGGCAGGGTCAATTCGACGCTTGATTTTTGACATTGCAAGACAACAACAGCAACAAAATAGCGCACAAGGTTACTGAAATTCAAGCACAAAATAGTTTTCCCATCATCTATGCCAAAGTACATCAAGCACAAACAACTTAAGGATACTTTAAGAGCAGTTTTGTGTCCAATATAACATTTAAAAGTAGCTGAAAGATTAGCCTTTAATGGATAAGTAAGCAAGCTTCGAAATAAAATAATTGCTCTTTAGAAATCGACAGCCCACTCGAAAGTACTTTTTATAAACACAAACCCAATAAATCGACAAAAATAAAAATATTAGCTCCTCAACAGTCGATACCTGGAGTCGAGGGATATCTTTGTATACCTCCTTAACGAGAAAATAGACGTGCTTTTAGCTAAAAATAAATTAAATAAGCCACACCAATGATTTAACACCCTTATAGACATGTTTTATATCAGATTGTTCCAATAGAACGCATATGGTACTTATTCCGATTTGAAACAGCACTGCAGTAATGTAAGGGGCATAGAAAACCCTGTAATTGCTGGGCTTATGTAAGATGCTATTCAAATTTGTTAAAGATATATTCAAAAACTAAAGTGAGTTTCGAACAGGAACTTAAATTCGACTAATCAGACCGGATAGCAATATGATATAGTGATATGGTGGCTTATCTTGAAAGACTTTAAGCAACAGAGCAACAGATAGTCAACAGTGATATATCGACTCGGCTATTGATGCTGATCTAGAATAAATATACTCTTTGGGGTCGGAGATGTGTCCTATGCTTTTACACATTTCATGTACAAATTATAATGCCTACTTTACAAGGATATCAAATGCTAAGTCTTCAAGTTTCCAGCAATAAAGGAAGGCACTTTCTAAAAACTCTATAGTTTATTATACTTCCGTGTCTGTCGATTCTTACCTAAGCAATTGTAATCCCTGTTAGGGAAAGAAAGGTTAAGACGTGTTTTAAACTGGGTATTCAAATAACAGATCCCAGAACCAGACAGACAGACAAGAGCTAAATAATGATTTATAAAAACTGAGACTAGTTTGCATAGAACCAGATACACGGGCAGGGCTATATGGACTCTGATATTGATCATAAATATATATATCTTTTTGGGACCGCAGAGGGGTCTATTTATGCTTAACACATTTCATAATAAAAGTGGAAGGGCTTAAAAATATGATATGATATCTGGTTCAATCAACTTGGTGTTTCTGGCAAATTCTGTTAGTGCTCAATAACTATCCAATTTTTTAAATTAATAATCGTATCTTATATTGCAAGTTTCATATTTAATCAGATCAGTATCGCTTCACTTGGCTATATTGCAATAATATATATAATAGTTTCAAAGATCTGGCAACACCAATTGAAGGCATGTTTTAAGTTAGTCAATAGTCTTTCAGGAAAGACTACGACTCCCGCTAACTGGCTTTCAAGAACCTGGTCGAGAATTATATGTGTATGGCTCGCAGCGTATTTAAATTTCGCAGAATTAAATTGCCGTTGACGTCTCTTGCAGTTCTTATGTGCAACCCTTTTTGGGGGTTTTTGGTGCCCTTACAGCATTTGGCACACCATTTCACAATGCATTGCATTTCAATTACACGTTTTTCAATTTTTATTTTGCCCAGTGAGCCGTGACGGGTTGGCTCTTGCCTGGGCTTATCATTTGCTGGCCACGTTGCCAAACGTTTTGTTGAAGCTTTGCCAAGATGTCACCGAGTCACACATACATAGAGACACATGTTTCTATATTCTACACACACACACACACACACATACACACACGGACATACACTGGTTTAGGTAAAAGCACGATGAGCACAAAATGAGAAGGGAAAAAAATTTTAACAATTTTCGGCATGGAAAAGAACGCGAAATAGAATTTCAATTTGGCTTACTGACAATATCAACTGTCATTGAAATGGGAGGCACGAAATATGAGCGACATATGAACCAAATGGAAGAAATGTTGCTGTCTCTCTTCCACCTCATCGTTCTCATCCCCATGCTCCACATGATTATAATCATCATAGTCACCACCGTCATCATCGTCTTCCTCTATATGCCCAATGAGCAACCAGCTCCAATGCCACTGGGGACAACACAAGTAGAAGCTGCAGAAGCCCGCAAAGTACTCGCCACGGCCGCGCTCAATATACGTAATGAGGTGGAAGCTGAAGGTGCTCCACAATTCCCACAGCTTGTTGAAGTAGAAGAGAAGTCAAGATTCCCAACGTCCTCCTCAGGCAGCTGTTCCATGCCGCACCCTCAATTTGAATGCCGTTGCGAATGTTTTATTCCTTGATTAAGTTCTTGTCGTTGACACTCACAGCAAAGTGACTGAGTTCGAACTTGTTCTCCTCCTGCAGGTGATCTGGGTGTGCATTCTATGTCGCAAGAAGCAGGAGCTGCTCTCCAAGACTGGCCAGTGGATCAACAAGACAGCGGTGCAACAAGATGGTTTCATCAGGCGCATCGAGCCAGATGGCAGCAGCGTAAGTGGGGCAATTGTAAACCCAGTCAACCGAACGAGCTTTGCAACTAACTTTCTTTTTTTCTATCTGCAGGACATCTCGCAGCAGGCCATTGTGGATCCGCACGACACAACAGACAAGCGGCCCAAGCTGGAGCGCACACGCAGCGCTGCCGAGAAAGAAAACCTGCCCATGCAGCGGGCCGGCAGCATGTTGCGGCGTCAATACTCGCAGCAGGAGCAGCCCACGAATCGTCGCCTCTCCGTCTCGGACAGCGGCATGGACCCGATGAGTCCCGGCCAGCAGCAACAGCGCCAACGCATGCAGCCCATGACTCCGCAGCAGGCGCAGCAATACCAAATGCAGCAGCAGCAGCAGGGCTACGGCCAGCAGCATCCACAGAGATCGGGTGCCTATCCCGAAGATGATCCGCGTTACTATCAGGTGAGCTTTCATTTCCTAGAAGGGTCTTGCTCCTGTGAAGTCGAAGCAGTTAACCAACTCTTGTCCAAAAAAAAACTAGTTACAAATTGAACGTCGATACTAGAGACTGGATTACTTTTTATAAATATATTTATATGGATATTGTACGCAGAAAAAGTTAAAACCATAAAAACTAGACTTACCTTAATTAGTATGAGAGACTCGTATACAAATAAGTTTATAAGATAAGTCAAGATAAGTTCTTGTATGCAATAATATGCAAGGGCTTTTGTTTCAGAGTATCTCCTAGTCGACTAGAGCACTTTTGCTTTTATTTACTTTATCGAATAAAGGGAATAAACAGACAATACGAATGTTGTGGAACTCTTCTATAGAACTCTTTAGTTCTAGGAATGCTAATTTTTCTTATTAAAATACGATTTCAACATTTGATTTATTTCTTCGAAAAATGTTGTAGGGTTTCTAAGAAATAGTAAAAGGTTTTACTAAATGAAAATAAATAAAAATTAAAATTTTGAAATTAAAGGCGACAAGCGAACATAAATAAATTTTATTAGATAAATCAAATATTTGGTGATTGTAATTTCTGGTTATTTATTGCCGTAAAAGCAAAATAATTAAAATGTTTATCTGTCTGCTGGTACGTAAAAAGAACCAAATTCGTATTAAATCGATTAAGTGGGCTAGAATTGTACAAACTGGATAAGGCCTTGAAATAATTTGAAAGTTTGGAGAACTAGCTAATATTATTATTTTAACTTGACAAACATTGGTTTTAATTATGAATTTCTCAATTGCTGCAGGGCGAACTGGACGGCCTTATGCGACAACATCCACATCTGGCGCATCCCAGCCAGCTGCAGCAACAGCAGGCACATCAGCAACATCAGCAACAACAACAGCAGCAGCAGCAGCAGCAACAGCAACAGCAGCAGCAGCAGCAACAGCAACATCACATGCCACAGCAGCAGCAGCGCTCGCAACCGCAGCAGCATCCTCAGTATAATGCACGGCAGCAACACCCACAGCAGCAACAACAGCAACAGCAGCAGCAGCAACAACAACAACAGCAGCAGCAGTCGTATCAGGGGATCGCGACGCACGCCCAAATCCATCAGCAGCCATCGCAGCTGGGCGGTGGCTACCAGAAGCCGCCACCACTGACCCGTAATCTGACGATCAGCGGTGGCCATGCCATGGACGCCACCTCCTACAACCAGCAGCAACAGCAGCAGCATCAGCAGCAACAGCGCAGAGCCCTGGCTGGGGCACAGTACGCATCGCAGCAGCAGCGCTCGTTCAGCAGCTCCGAGGAGGAGTTCCAGAATCATTTGATGGCCGCAGAGGCGCAGGTGCAGGGGCACACGCCGAATGCTGGCAGCGATTATGACGGTGAGTTGTTGCGTTTTCTCCAATTTGCACTCCTGTATGTCTTCCTTGCTATCTCTATCGCTCTGACTGTCTTTCTTTAACTGTAACTGTTGATCGCGTTAGCGCTCGCTCGCTCTCTCTCTATCTCTGTTCCTCTCTCTCTCTCTCTCTGTCTCGCTCTCTATGTATTGCTCTCCTTTAACCGTTCTAAGTATCCAGCCTAGGCGTATATAAAAAAAAAAACATTTTCTGTTTTGATAAAAACTCTTAGTTGTTACTGTCTCTATGTATCTCTCTCTCTCTCTCTCTCTCTCTTTCTCAAACTCTCTTTTGACTCGCTCGCTAAGAATATGATAATTTTTGCCACAAAAAAAATATATATTTTTAAAATATATATTTTTATATAGATAATCCTTTCAAAAAGTAACACACTGCAGCTCTCTCATTGGTGCGTTGTCTTTTCCTTTAGCCCTATTGGCTTTTCCACTAACGAAATTAATAAATGTGTTTTCTTGAAGCAATATTTTCCAACACTTTTAATCAGCTATTCTCACACCATTTCAATGTTTTATTTGTTCCCCCTTTTTGTATGTATTTAATAATTAAATGGCTCTTTTAATCCTAACGTAGCTCAACTTAGTTTAAGCCAAGATTTAAGCTATCTGTAAAGTTGTATACTATAGTTAGTTAAACCTAAAGTAAGTTCGCTTTAAGTTTTGTTTGGCTGCCACATTGTGTGGCAACATGGCCACATTCTGTTGACCCGGTTCGCGACGCTGCAACGGAACGGCGGAAGTCTTAAATTTGCACATTATTTTTCACTGTGAAAATTGTTGGCCCAAACTGCAAACTGGAAAGTTTTCAAATGCCACAAAGGAAAATGCAAGTTGCATGCACCGCATTGCAAAAATAGAAACCAAAAGCCGCACACACACACAGACAGGCACACAAGGGCCATACACACATTCTCTTTGCTGGGAAAACATTTGGAGGTGCTTATCTTGGGGCCACTTGACTCTCAACAACAACAGCCGCAACCGCAGCCGTGGCAGGAGCAATGGCAACATAAACGAAATAAAATAAAAATAATTTGTTGACCGTTTGGGTAGTGAAGGGGGAGGAGGGGCGAAGAGGTAGCAGCGGCGGGCAGCAGCTGGCAAAAGGACCGCGACAAGTGCCCACTTTTGCACCCTGCATACTTTTAGGCGGGGCATTTTCCTCCGTTTTTATTCTTTTGCACCGCTGCCCGTTAAATGCAATCAGCATAAATTATATGCAGCAGCATGTCTGCTGATGGGCTGGGCGGGGGTCGGAAGGGGGAGGGACTAGGGCACAGCTGACCCGAAAACACATTTTCCGAGCAGCAAAGGCAACCACAAAGATATCTAAAAGTTGTTGGCTAGTTGCAGTTGACTGCAGTGAAGGTAGTTAGTGGGGTTGAGGGGAGGGGTACTTTGTAGCAGTCTGAAGGGGGGGGTTAAGAGCACTGTTTCCTGCTGCTCATGGCTCATGTTTTGCTGAGCGATGTCGCCGGCGACACTGTCAAGTGCGTTGCCGGCAAATTTATTATCCTAATTAGAAAGTTTCTTGTTGGCACTTGGCTGCAAGCCTCAATAAGCAGCCCCATGCACCGTGCGCCGCGCGCCGCGCCCCGTGCCCGAAGTCCGCCCAAAAATTCGTATTGTTTGTGTTGGGTCTACTGCGAGAAGCAGGCGCATGCAACATGGCGACTGGTGATTTAAAATTGTACTTTATTTTTTATTGCTGCACATTAGCGTGCAAAGTTTCTGGCAAGCATGTTGCATTTGCCACGCCCCGACCAGCAGCAGCAGCGCCCACTAGCTCGACATCAAACTAGCATATAATAATTATTGATTTCAACTTTGGCCCCGCAAAAACTGAGTGAGAGTCGTTGTTGTTGTTGTTGTTGTTGTTGTTGTTGTTGTTGCCTGTCAGCCAAGTTTTCTGCGCCTTGCTGCAAGAAACTGTGGCATAAAATTAGGCGCAAAGTTTTCGGTCTACCCCCAGCAATGTCGATGAGCAGGCACAAAGTTGGCCAAAACTCTCGCAACTGCAATGCTACCTCAACTACTGATAGGGTACCAGCACCTCTGGGAAAACAGGCCCCCTTACTATAACCCTGCCCTCTCGCCGCGCTGAGATTGTTGCAGCTGATTTAGCGTGCGCCCGGTGCAGCTGCACTGACGTATTCTGTGAACATTCACCACCACTGAGCCACGCGCCACGCGCCAGCCAAAGTCACCACAGCCAGTCGCAGCTCACCACGGTGCTGTTCACAATAGTCTCACACGCAAGCCGTCCCCAGGCGTCATGCGTTGGAATATTCCCAGCCACAAATTGGAAAATTCCCACACAAACACAAACGGCATGCCAGACGCATGCGCTGCATTGGCATGCCACCGCCTCCTCACACCCCCTTTTACCATACCCCCCCCCCCCCCCCCTTTTCCCTCTCGCCATACTCGCTTGCTATTGCATGGCAGCAGCAGCTGATGATATTGCGAAGCGCGCCTAGTGTCAAATTTATTTGATTTAAACAATAAATTGTATTTCCCTTTATGAGTTAGCGAAACAACGACCTTCCGGCTCATGGTTAGCAGTGGCCAGGGTATTAAGTGTTGGGAGTTACATTGACTGTGTCAAGGGGTTGCGCACATCCGGTGAAATGTTTATAAAATCAACTAGTTCCATGCCTTGGCATTTGAATGCTTATGTTTGATTGGTTTTAATTTAGCAAATACACGAACTAGTTTCATGATTTGGCATTTGAGTGCTTTATTTAATGAGATTCTCGTATAGATCAAAGAACTAGCTCCTTGGCATTTGAGTATCTTCCAATACAAGATCTAGTTCCATATTTAAACAAATTTAAGTCTTCATTTTTCTCATTTGCGATATAAGAAGTTTGGCCACACTTAAAAATTATATGAATATTAATTTATACATATTTATGCATATAACAAATGCATACTGAAGACTTCTGGGAAATTTAAACTATATTTCGTTTTATAAGTAATCTACAGAAAGACCAATCGGTATATTTGCGTCTTATCACTTTTAATGATTATAGTAAACACAGTAAACTACCCTATATAAATAATTCAGTTTGTGAATATTTAAGTATTTAACTTATATTTGTATATATATTTGAAGACCTAAATTGCAATATCTTTAAGTTCCTTCATATAAGAAATATTTTTAAAATACAGTTGTTTACATTGCGAAGCATTCTTAACCTTATCGCGTTCGCGCTCTGTCTCTTGCATAAATTAAAGGTTATTTCACTGACGTCATCCACTCTCACGCCCTCGCATAGATCACATTACCCAAAGTTCTCGGCGTCGAGCTGTCAGTGGATGGCGCTGCACTTTACTCCAAACCTTAAACCTCCTGCTCGCTTTATTGGAGCGACGTCATTTCATTCACTGTATTTCTTTCATATCATGCAGCGTCATGCTTTTTACTACGAGTTCGTAAACAACAACAACAGCAACAACAACAACAACACAATAATAACAAAAACAACAACAACAGCAACAAGCACTAGAACTAATGCAATTGCAATACAGTTAGACTGAACAGTTAGTCAAGCATCCAACACGCGCGCGCCTTCGCTTCTTGGACTACGGGTTGAGGGTGGGGCCGGGGCCCGCTCTGGAAAGCAAAGGCAAATACGCTGACTTTGCCATTCGCATTGGTGGTGGAAACAGCACGCAAAAAAACACAAACACAATGCCCCAACAACGGTGTCAGTGGCAGTGGCAGTAGCAGTAGCAGTAGCAATAGCAGTAACAGTAGCAGTGGCAGTAGCAGCCCCTAACCCCGCCTGACCCCAGCGTACGGCAGCAGCTGTCAATGTTATCGCAGTCAACGTCGCTGTCGCCTCGCAGTTGACGTCGCAGTCACTGTGGCCACGCTTAACTTTATTTTTAGTTGTGCATTGGAAGCGCCATGGGAAAGTGCTGCTACAGCAACAACAACATGGCGAACTTGTAACATTGTTATTGGAAATTTCGTAGGCTCCCAGCACCAAAAACAACAATAACAACAACAACGAAGACAACTGTGACTACTACAACAACAACAACAAGCTAAGGGTAGGCGCCGAAGGAAAGCGAAAACGTAAAGCAAAATTCCATTGAGGTTTTTTTTGAAATCGAAACGAAATTAGTTTTCGATGAACTTTAAACGCGAGTAAACAGCCGCTGCGGGCCACGTCGCACGCTCGCACGTGTCGCAAAACCCAAAATAAAAAACCCAACAAATTAAATAGTGTAAATTATCGCACAACCGAGGCGAATTTCGTGACACGCGGAAAACATTGTGCGAAATCGAGAGTGAAACTCAGCGAGCGCCTCAAGCTTAAGCCCAAGAGGTTGTGCTGCTAAACAAAAAACTGTAAAAAACAACCTTGAAGGCAATGTAAACCAAAGAAAAGTAAATAAATAAATAGCAGAGAGAAAACAATTGCAGCGCAAAGACCACGGTCAAATCGTAATTGCAGACATTGAGTATTAAATAATTCAAAACTAGCCTTGTGAAGGTTAAACGTGTCACAATTTACAAAATGTCATCTTAGATTCCACGGAAAGGTACAAGTTTTCAGCAAATTACAGAGAAAAGAACAGAAAATGCAATAAAAATAAATTAATTAATGAGAAACTGTGAAATAATTTCGCGTAAAGTATATAGTAAAGTGCCAAAGCAAGAGAAATCGCCAATTTAAAATGAAAATGATGAAAACATGAAAATGCCTGCCAAACATATTTTGTGCGGGCGCCAGCCACGAAAATGCAAACAAAATTAAATCAAATCAAGGCATAAATCAAATTTTGGCTAGCCTAAAACTGCGCAAATCGCGGCGCCCATTGGACGCTTTTGCATAGGGCCACCCGCACACACACGCAAACACACACACACACACAGTCACACACACACACACACACACACACACACACACACACACACACACACACAGTCACACACACGCGCGCACACCT